GCAAGAATTGACTCTGAAAACGATGAGGCCATGCTACAGCAGCACAAGAGAAGTTGCGTTTTTAGTGCTGGGCTGGACCTACAACTACAGTGGGGTTGCTTGTCTTAGTACTGTAGCTTCAACCACTACATACCTACAGCACCAAATCCGCTTCAGATAACAACCTCGGCAGAAATGGTGGCACCCAAGGTTGGGGCGTGGCTGGCTTGTGCCAGTTTTAAGATTGTGACCATAATCTCAGTTTTGAAACTGCGTCACTCAGTTTTTTAAAACTGCACAGTTTTTAAAATTGTGTGTCACAATTGAATCAAAATATTTCAGATTTCTCCGAAGACGGTCCTGCAGGTAAACGTCGTGTTGTTTTGTTGGGAAGCATTCTGAAAGTCATTGTCCTGCAATCAATGGTGTTGAGCCACTGCGCTTGTTTCATGTTTTTTGTTTCAAACTTGGGCACTCAAGTGTTCTTCAGTCAATACTTGCCTCTGAATCTCCTCACCTTGTTCTTCGTTGCATCTCTCTGATATCATTGCAGTGCAAAGCACCGAAGCAATGGAATCCACGAACGAGGAAAAATCCTCCAAGTGAACCAAGATAGAGACTCCAAGGCGAAAGAAAGAAGTCGGCAATCTTGTGATGAGCCAGCATCTACTACACCCGGGGCTGTGGCCTCTTTGAGCACAGTCGAAAGGAAAAAGGTTAGGGGTTCCAGTAAAAGAAAATCAGCGTCTATTCCCGGGGCTGTGGCCTCTTCCGACACTGTCGAGGGGAAAAAGGATAGGAGTTCAAGCAAAAAAGTTCAGCGTCTATTCCTGGGGCTGTGGCCTCTTCCAAGACTGTCGAGAGGAAAAAGGATAGGAGTTCTAGTAGAAGAAGTACGGCGAACAAAACGTCCGGAAGATCTCCAAGGACGGAAAGGCTCGACAAACACTGAAGCCGTCTTCAGCATCTAGTAGTAAGCCTGGAGCAGTACCTTTAACCGGCAGAGACAAACAGAAAGGCAGTAGAAGATCTGAAAAGTCTCACCACACCTCCAAGGCCTCGTCCGGCTCTCATCCAAGTGAAGAAAAGGAATACAATCTAGTGCAGAAAATGGTGTCGTGTCATCTCCCAACGATACAGACACAGGAATTGTTGCAGAGGCCGTGGATGATGCAGAAATGCAAGCTACTACTAAGGCGCTCCAAGACAGAGAGGACTGTGAAAATGAAGCCTTCCGTGCAGAACTTCAGCGCCGTGAAAATGAAGCCTTGCAGGCGGAACTTCAACGCCGAGATGAGGAACAAGCGCAACAAAAACCTCGCAAAATGCCATTTTGGCGCAAGGTGTGCTTGGTGATCCTAGTTGTTGCTGTGGTCAGTGGTATTGCTGCAATTGGTATAGCACTCACTGGTGGTGACAACAATGATGGACAAATTGCAACTGTGGATACACCGCCAGAAGCCACAAGTGACCCCACTGCACAAGCAATTACCCTGGCTCCAGTCGATAATGCCACTCCCAGTCCTATTATGCACCAATGTATCTCAAGGTCTCCATGTGGATGGTCAATGAGACATGGATTCCCAGCCAGTCGTTGTCGCAATGAACGTGTACCTGACGCTTGATACGGAAAGCGAAGTATGGCTGCCCAACTTCCAGCAGAATCTTCAACAGCTAGTAATGCCACGTATCGTAGGATGCGATAGTGACTCTGCTGAGCAAACTTTACAAGCAGAAAACGTTGATGTGTCCAACATTGGCAAGAAGGCGCAAGTCGATCAAGAGTCTATTTCTCCTGTGGTTCCATGCAAAGAGAATACTGAAGAATCTTGTTACACGTTCGAGTTAGAAGTGGTCCTTTTCTTGAAGCAAATGGTGAATGGCATTGTCATCAATGACTTAGACCAATACATAGAGGAGTCTCTCGAAACAGTGTAGCTTTTATGGAAGAGGCTCAAGACTCAGTCCAGAAAGTTGTGATTCTGTCTGACAATCAGCCTGTTGCATTGAGCGATCCGTCCATGTCACCATTGCAACAACCATCGAAAGAACCATCGAAGAATCCTACTGGTCACGTTACGCAAGTTGCTTGGTGATCCCACTTTTAAGCGTCGTGGTATCTTCCCAATTTCTTTAACTCTATATATAGCCAAAGCTGGTTCTTCGTTTGGCTTGGTCGGCGAGCTTCCTGATGAACTGAAAGCACTGACCAATCTTCAAAACATTAACTTCGGTAAGACCTTGCTTGTGTGCTTTCATTGAGTTGTCTTGATTCATCTCGTTGTGCTGCTGTGTTAACATCTCATTCTCTATACTCTCTACCTCTTTGCGACTTCTTCTCGTGTGAAGTAAAGCACACATAAACAAAGACCTCAGCGGCAGTATTCCTTCATTTCTTACAGCCATGACGAAATTGACTGTTTTAAAGCTTGGTATAAGTCACCGAAGCAGCAAGTATTGCCGACGCGAATGGCACTCTCTCATTGTCACCTTTCATTATCCTTTCTTCTCTTCAAGTAGGGGACACTGGTCGTACTGGATTGATCCCCTCGGAACTTTGGACTCTAATGAAGTTACAGGATTGCAGCTTGTTCGGAAATTACCTTACTGGGGCGATACCCCCTGGATCCAGCGCGATGACATTGAGGTGCTGACTCTGTCATACAATGATCTGACCGGATCAATCCCAGCATGCCTCAGCTTAGTGCGCTGACAGCCAACAAAAACTTCCTGACTGGAACAAATCCGCCACTTCCACCAAGTCTTTCTGTTTGTCGATTGGGTACGTCGCATGCTGTCCGTGTGATTGTGATTGTCGGCTTGGATTTTGATTCTAATCTCTTTGCTTTACACGTTTCTATTTGGTTGTAGCTGAACAGTCGAGTGGGAAGCATTTCTGCAATAGAAAAGGCGAGGGAAACTGTTTCTCCAACGCCGCCAATGCACCTAGTACTTGCAGCCTCACCAGTAATCAGTGCAAATAGCTAAAGGAGCTTTGAACTGGATCAGTTCACTCTGCTTCCGAACAAAAGGAACTATAATGTTACATAATTTCATGAATTCAATGTTATATCTGTTTCCAGCCTAGACACTCACTCATTTCGCAGTCACCATGATAGGATGTTTTACGATCATCGAGTGACATTTTTAATGAGAGTTCCAGTGGTCGTGATCAAGATTTCGGTCTTCGATAACCAGCAGTGCTATTATTACTCTCTACGAGTACCCGCAGTACTCCTGGCATACCCTACTGTAGTCTTGCATTTGTTTCTCTTCATGCATTGCTTTTGGAACGCCCTCATGTATATCGGTCTGCCTTGCTAGCTTTAAGAGGCCAAAGAGCTCTTGGCCATCCTCTCACATAGCAGTTAAAGCGTATACATTTGTTTCCTCGCCACGCTCGGTATAGCAAACCCTCAAACCGGCTTGCTGAAAGAGTAACCGGTGATGGTTATCAGTTCTGGTGATATCGTACCTCTCATTGACCCCTTGTGGCATGTCCATTTGAAACCTATCTTCCCGCTGTGTTCCATACGGACGATTCTCCTTAACAATCAAGACTCCCGAACCTTCCCGAAGTCCACCTGCTAATACTTTCAGACAGTCGACCACGTCGGTATCAATGAGATATTGCAACGTCCATTGAACCCACATGAGATCGGCGGGTTCTCCCCAGCCTTGCACATCTGCCTTGGTCAACGTGTCGAGCTAATAAGTAGGAAAGAAATGATAGAAATGAGACTTCATGATCGTTGAAAAGAGCTCATTCATTTCTCGTTGCGTAGGGAAAAAGAGCGAAAGAACAAGAATAGTCAAGCATGACAACGATGACTCACGCGTTGGTGGCTAAAGCTACATCGAGAAGCTCGCTTTCTGCCTAGATAGACCTTAGATCGTTTAGACCATCCTTCATCAGCTTCTACAAGACGAACTTCTCCGTATCGTTTGAGCAGGAGCAATTTGGTCACCCTGCCGACTCCTGCGCCGAGATCAATTGCATGATCAAAACGACGACGCTGCTGACGAGGATTATTCTGACGAGATGACGGAGGGTGTTCATGGGGCAACGAGTCGTCCGTTGCTTTCTTGTTGTCAAGGGCAAGGAATCGATCTAAAAAGGCGAGGCCTTCCTCAGCATCCTCTTCACCCCCCTCATCGCCAATCATGGCCTGCTCGTCGTTGCTTCCGTTGTATCCGCCATTGGCCCACCACATCGAGTTGGCATGGTACAACCCCTCTTGATTGGCTTTTTGAAAGGATAGCAGTTCGTCATGGCAGCTATAAAACCGGCCCATGTCATCGGTTCCCTTGATGGTCTCTGGACAAATACGACGGGATGATCGTTCTTCTGAATGCAAAGCAGCACTTTTTTTATGATTGCCCCCCGGCGAAGAATTTTGATTCTCGTTCCCCACTGTTTTTGATCCCACGACGGTGCTCCCTTGTCGGCCAGACAGCGTTTTCTTCTTTCCTCTCTTTGCCATTTTGAAAAACTTGTGATGAGAGATTACTGATTATTGTACCGAATGTTAAAGGGCAATAGACACAAATATTGAGAAGAAGAAGAATCTTTTCATTTTCCTCTCAGGTGTGTCACACGTCTGTACTCACACTCTGTTGCTTTCGTGAAGACTTTTTAAGTATTTCCAGGACTCGTACCAGGTACACTACTCTTGATTCACATGGTGATGATGATCAGATTTGAGATTGATGATGGCAACCTCTTAGCATTCCGATCTCTACCCAAATCATGCGCAGGCACCTAAACTAGAAGGTTGGAAAGGATTCATTCTACTTAACTCTTGGTACCAGAGTAGGAACAGGTCCCGAGACTGGCAGCCAACTACTTGTGAATCCGGAAGTTACACTATTTTTGTTACGTGCGGAACAGTAGCTTTGATGCTGAACGGCTACCACCCTATTGAACTATCAACTGCTATGGAAAGAACGCATAATAACTATAACTACTCGTAAATGAAGTTCACTTGAGTGGTCCAGGCCTTCCAAAGGAGTGCGGCAACATTCTTCAAACTAGCATCCCGCCTCAAAATGCAAGCTCTATTAGATTACAACATTGCTAAAGAAAATATCCTATATTGTAGTTAGCATTGCTGTCAAGCATGTTGGTAGCAAAGTCTCTCCTGGGAAATACACCTTTTGCAGGGCAATCCTTGTTTCATTACTCCATATAGAGCCTGTGACTTGTTCTGAGACGGCTGTCTTCTTTGATGTCGTTCTTTCCTCTCTGCTGTGGGCCGACAGAAATTCTGCCCCTGTGATGACGACTGGTTATTTGCATAATTGCTGGACGACTTTTTCTGGCCATTATGTTGCCAGCAATAACCCCTTTGTGCGATGCATCTTTTGCACGCCTCTCCATTGGATGTTACGCCCCAAGCCTTTCTCCCGTTTTGAGTACTCCCAACAGAACCATTATTTGATGCAGAGCCGTAGGCCTTTTTGTTTGTCGAACAGTTTGATTTGTCTTGCGGCTGGTGTTGCCAGCAATATCGCCCTTGTCTGATGCAATTCAAGCAATGTTCTCCATTTGCCTTGACACCAAATGTTTTTCCCGTGGTGTCTTCGCTACTACGCTGGGCTTGTTGGTGCGTTCTACCCGATGGCTTTTTAGATGGTTCTTTCTATTTCTTTGGCCTATCTTTTCGGTCTTTCTTTGTTTCCTTTCGATAAGCTCTCTTTGATGGTTTCTGAGATGAAGTACTCGAAGTCGGGTCTTGATACTGTTCATGTTTGTATTGACCATGACTCCCGTTTGGCATGGAGCCAGTAGAATACCAATCCTGATAATTGTACTGATGATATTTTTGCCCACTTGCGTTGGAAGTTCCATAAGATTTCTTTCCTGAAGACTGAAATGGGTTGGATGAAGTGCCGGAACTCTGGTTTTGATACTGTCCTTCTTTGTGCTGGCCATGGCCATCCTTTGGAGCTGACCCAGAAGAATAAAAATCGTGATGGTTGTACTGATTGTATTTTCCACTAGTATTGGAAGCCCCATAAGCTCCGTAAGCTGTCTTTTCCCGGGAATCAAAGGGGTTCGATGATTTCTTGTCAGTTTTCGTTTTCTGAGATGAAGCGCCAGTAGTCGGGCCTTGATTCTGTTCGTATGTATATGCACCATGATTACTCTTTGGGGCTGAGCCAGAAGAATACCAATATTGATTATTGTATTGGTGCTGTTGTTGACCACTAGCGCTGGCAGTTCTGTGAGCTTTCTTTTCTGAAGTCTGAAAAGGGTTAGATGACTTGTAATCGGTGTTCGTTCTCTGAGAAGCCGGGTCTTGATACTGTCCGTATTTATTCTGGCCATGACCACCCTTTGGCTATGATCCAGAGGAATGCCAATCCTGGTTATGTTGTTGTCCACTACAGGAATCGGATGCCCGTGAAGTGTATTTTGGATTGGTGCTCTTGTTGGTTTTAGGAGGTGGCACATTCGATGATGATGATGATGATGACGCACCACCCGTCCGTTTTGATTGGCGTTGTTCGGAGTGGTGTGATGATTGAGAGCTTGACTTTGTACTGCTCGTTGGGGACTGTGTCGGATGTTTCTTTCTCAAATCATAGGCCTCTCGAGCTGCTTTGTCAGAAAGGGTTTCGTAGGCATTCCGAATTTTCGTAAAAGCTTCATGGCATGAACCAGGTGGCAGTTTGTCAGGATGGAGAAGAAGTGCTTTTTTGTGGTATGCTTTCTTGATCTCAGTGCCCGAAGCATGGGGTGAAACTCCCAAAATGGCGTAGAGATCGGTCTTGTGGTCTTTAAAGGAGTTCTTCATGGTATGACAAAGAAAAGTATCCCTGCGAGGATCTGCAAATGAGCAGAACCAAAAAGGGGTTGATCGTGGCGTGGAATCATTTTCGCTGACAATGGAAGTTGAAAAAAGTAGCGATCTTCATCTTCAATCTTTTTTATAGAAATCACACATGGAATCGGGATGTCTTCGTTCAGTGTCAAGTTTTTGTGTGAAACCCACATTGCCCGGCAGGCTCTTGTCATGATTCAAATCTAAGATGTCGGCTGGCTCGTTACGCACAACTGATGCGCGATGATGATCGCAAAATATCTTTCAACCCTGTCATTTTACTGTATGTTTCACAATCCCACCATGACTACGTCCTCGCTACGAACTTTGCATAAGAGTTCAAACAACAGAAGCCACGAATCTTGCCAAAAAACACTAACACTGCAGTAACCCCCTTTGTAGGAAGTGGTGAGAAGTTTACGCTGGCGGGCCGTAGCTGCGCTGGTAATGGAACATTGATTGGCATTTTCATAATTGGAAATGCAGGCTCCTCCAATCCCGAAACCCGCCTCCAAGTTAGTTTACCTAATGATGAACTTCACGCTACATCTTAAAGCGGTACGTTTCAATCAAACAGTGTGAATGTGGTGACGAAGTTGTCACAAGGAAAATCCGCTGTTGAATGAATCCAAATCGACACTGGCAAGAAAGCCTCTTTTTCATTCGTAGCAACCAAACGAAGAATCTGGGTACCAGCTTTTGATACAATGTTTTGTGTATACTGTATATCGCAGTGTTCTGATGTCATTTCCAGAAGAAAAACATATATGTACAAAGAATGTTCAAAAGTCTACATGCTTTGCCGGGTGTTCTTGGTACATACAGTCTTCAATTTCAAAATTTATTGTTAGTCCTAGTAGTCGTATCGATTTTTGTTTCATTTCATATCTTCAGCACCCGTAGACATAGCTGTTGGCCATGATCTCGAGGTAAGCTAGCAATGTCAAATTCCGATAAGCAGAGCAACAAGTTTGCGTGGAGTCACTATGAAGCGATTGATCTGAAGGGAAAAGGTCGTCAGGAGACCTTTACAATACGACATCTGAAGCAGGGATCAACTGGCGCTGTCAGCACGTGGCCAGTCGCTTCAGTTTTGTTAGACTATCTTGTACTGCGAAATGGCTTGGCTCGAAAGGTTCCTTCTGTTGATACCTTGAATATGGCCGATAATTCACTCCAACAACAAGAAAGTACCGATCCTTTGGCTGCTAATGATGATAATGAGTCCTACAACATTGTCGAGTTGGGTGCGGGTACGGGTTATCTAGGTATGAATATATTAAAATCCAAAGGATCCTGTTGACTGATTAGCGTTCATCTGAGGCCCAGGAACAACTGCACAACTGAGCCAAGGCGAAAGTAGACTAACGAAGCATTGGAATATTTAGGAATCGGACTAGCGCTTTCCCTGAATCGAGAGGCAAATCTCAGCAGCAAGGAAGATGGCGTTCGCTTTCAACCCAAAGTCCGCGTAATGTGTACGGACAATGATCAACGAACAATCAAGAATATGCGATTCAACGTTATGGATCAACCAAAGGAAGGAATGCTAAGCAAGGCTGTCACGGTTCAAAATCTTGCTTGGGGTACTGATGTTGGTGGTACTAAATTTTCCAATGCGATAGGCTCTCAATTCGGATCACGGCAAAAAAACAAAAGTGAAAAGGAGGAGAAGGAAGAAGATCCCTTGCGACTTGTGACGCATCTTATTGCCTCGGATGTGCATTACGGTGTCACAACTCTTGATCCACTGTCATCTGTTATTTCCGCGTTTAAGTTGCGAAATCCAAACGTAGTTGTTATAGTCTTGTTGAAGGAACGATCACCCGAGGTATATGCAGATGTAACTGGCTTAAAAGCGGAAATTGAATCAAAAGTACAAAGTGGGCTTGGAGATAAAGAGTGCTCATTGGATACTCAAACTGCATTGAAAGATTTTTTTGTAAGCGTACGCGACGTGATTCACCACGACATAACCAATATGAAAATGGTCGAGTGTTGAGCTTCAAAAGAAATCCTGTAGCCTGAATTGTTTGCTCGGAATGTTAGGCAAGGATTTGAAGGCCTCCGTAAAACTCATTGCATCACAGACAAGGATTCATTCAGAACCGCAATGAAACGAAGACGGTCTTGTCGGAGAGTGCTAACTAATAATGAGTCAAAATATTTGGAGCCGAGACCACAACACATCGCGTCGGCTATAGAGGCTAAAAGCGCAATAACGTAACTTGCTAGAAAGCTATCAATTTTGTCTTTTTGCTTAAGGTTTATCGTCCCTCGTTTTATTAGCTTGAACATTGTTGTCTTCAGACGAGTCTCCGAAGCTCGTCTTCAAAAAGTTGTCGAAATGATCCCATATTTGGTTTCGCGCAAACCAATTGGTCAAGGAATGTTCTGTTGTTCCTGCGCATTTGGTCTTTATCTGGCCAAATCGGTCTTGCCATTGTGCATCTGTAGCAATTTCCGTCCCCAGAGTTTCCAACGGTCCAAGTGATGGATTTTCGCTGGTGCCTTCCTTGGAAACCTTAAAGTACACACTCTTTTCAGATTCTAATAGTTGGAGCAAATTGTTGTCTTCTCGTGCCCATCGAATGTTGTGAGTCGAGTCTGTGAATGCAATGGCCCGTATGTGGGGCAGATAGTGTTTGGACTTGTCGAGCAGGTATCCGGCAAATTGGGCACCAGATTGGGAATGAGACAAAACGTACAAGTCTCGACTACCCAGAGGCGGGCGATCAGCAGAGCAAGTCTCGTCTTCCCATGACTTAAAGACTTTCGCCATGCTCTTCTCAAAGGTAATCATACCCAATCGGTCGCCATGAACATTGGGATCCAGCATGATGACATTCATCTTTCGTCTACAAGCTTCTCGAACAATGGGGAGGGCCGTACTGCATTCCATTCCGTTACAGATGAGATGCTGTCGTGAAAAGATCCCTGCTCGTACTTTTCCATTCCCTGTGGCAATCAAGAGGGTTGGCGTCTTGTCGATGGCCTCTTTGTCGGCGTTGATTGCCTTGCTAACGATTGCTCGTATCGGTTCCGCATTATTCCCAGCCTCACAGACGTCGACCCATTCCAAATCTCCAACATTCATCATGACATCTTGTGCACACTCTTGACAGGCATGCGCTAGTGCATCATACATATCTCCGTCGGCGATGAATTCTTTTCGATTCTCTGACGTAATCATTGTATCAGATTCAATGTGAAAAAGCCGAGCTGAAGGAAGGCATCGTTCCGGACCGTCAAATTCACTATTTTTTGATGCTTCATGATCATTGATGGCTGATTCTGCTGGGTCGCGTTCCTCTTCAATTTCATCTTCCGTTTCTAGGTGCAAATCAGGGGCTTCAGATTTAGCATCAGCACTCGGCGAAATGGTTCTGTACTCGAATCCTGTTGCCAAAAGAGCATCTTCTCCTTTGGATGACCGCAAAATAAGAACCAATTCTCGTGTTTTAGAGCGATGTTCATCATCTGTAGAACACCCTCGTAGTCGGACTCCACCCCGAACTCTGGTTGGTTGAGACTGCACTGTTTCAGTTATTATGTGTTGATGACCGTCGTCGTGATGACCGTCATTGTCATCATCATGATGTCTCTGGTGTGAAAATATGTGAAAGACGTGTCCAATTGCACTTCCAGCCTTATGCTTGATCACTGAAAATGGATTGGCGATGTGATGCGATCCTCGTCGAACCTTCTTCAGACTTGGTCTTCTCTTCTTGGGAGATGATGAATTGCTGGAAATAGAAGTCGAGGATTCTTGTCTCTTCTTCTCGTGTTCTTCTAATGTTGATAGGTCTGTCGATTCAGGAATCACTTCTCCATGTTCCGGTGCTGCTTCCATCTTGCTACAGCAACAGGATCTTCCAATGTCCTTGGGCTTCAGTTTGGTGTTACAGTATGATGTTGTGTTCCGATAGAATAACGTTTCAGTTCGGATTCGTTCCGCCCGCTGCCGCCCCGTGCACATACCCTCCCCGGCGCCCGCCCATCTGTCGTCCGACCGATTAAATCGAGCCCAACCAACGCAACAAAACCAACAAGATTATAACTTTTTTGGCAACATGGTAACCGTAGTGATTCCCAAGGGGCAAAAGGATGCCAAAACATCTGCAAAACAACCCACACAAAGAAAACGGAAGTCGCCAAAAGTCACCAAAAAGGACAAGAAAAAGCAAGGGTCTCAGCAACAAAAATCGAGCCGAAAACAAGTTCTTCCGTTGAAAGGTGTTGTTCTTTCCATATCGACCTTGAATGATAGCAAAGGCAACACTGGTGGAGAAGTAAATTACAGTTCTGCGGCGCAGCTGTGTCGTGATCTTGGAGCCGAAGTCTTGGGGCAAGTTGGAAAGCGAGTCAAGTACATGATCTGCACCAAGTCAGCAGTGGAGCAAGCAACTCAACGCGTTCGAAAGGCGCACAAAAAGGGAATCCTAATAGTCAACATTGACTGGTTGGAAAAGTGCAAGCAAGAAAAGAAATTGTTAAGTGTGGAAAACTATCTCATGGATGAAGAAGCGAAAGTTGCCATTGAGTCGCGACAGAAAAAGCAAGACAAAACTGCGAATGATGATGGCGGTATAGAGGTACCTCCAGACGATGCAGGATGGACAGAAGCTATTGCATTGGGATGTTGTTGCGTTTGCCACGAGAATAGAACAGCAAATGAATGTCAATGGTGCAAGGATCTACCTTGCGCTAAACAATGATTGTTTTCACTGGAAGGAGACAAACGAGTTCTGTTCAAATAATCATAGGACAGAACCGAATTCATCGGGCAATTATCACCCTCAATCCATTTCAGAAATATGTATATTTCACGCGACAAGAGAAAGACGATGGTAAAAATGAGCGGTAGGGATCAAGAGAGAAAAAGATAGCTTCTCGAAGTGCTTAAAGGCAAGGGAACGTCATCGCATCTTTAGGTCCTGCACCGGAAAGCACAACGGGTTTCCATAAAGATGGGCACAAACTTAGTAGCAGAGAGACTTGCTTTCGCATTCCATATTACTAGGAAGATTTATTTTGATCTATCGATTTTTTGTCTCTGGCATCTGGAACTTTCCAGAAGAAGCTGCAGTTCAAGAAGATCTGCAAACGCAACAAGAGCTGCAACAATCATTGCTTCGTCTCACTACCAGGACTTTCCAGCAAAACAAAAATCTTACATGGTACTGCCACTTCAAAGTACACTCTAGACTAGAATCTAGTTTCCAAATCTGCTGTCGCTGTCTAGCCGCAAGTCGTCATCCTTCGACACAGCCCGATATTGTGTGAAGCTGAAGAAGAGTCGGACCGGCTGGTCTCTGCGGTTTCAGGTGGTGGAAAGAAAAAGATGAGTACAGTGCAAATCGAACAATGAAAGTACGCAATGCCTCGAACAAGCTCAGAGAGTATGGTCGCATTTCAAGATCCTCATTGACAAGAGATGCCATAGGGTTGCGCTTTCTACAAATCGCCGAGCTCCATTGTCACGAGACAACGCGGCTCAAGACGACCTGCCAACGCAACAAGAGTTACTATAATCCTTGCTTGTAATCGTCGCCACCAGAATCTCCACGCTGATAAACTTACACCGTGATGTTCCACCTATTTACAAATACAACGAATTGCAGAAGACAATATCCCTCTTGATAAGCTTGCCTCCCTCCAAGAACTTCGTCTCAAGATCCTTATCACCAATTGCTTTTGCGGCAACTGTGATCTGTCTTACAAGCTCCTCAAGACGTCTCAAAGTTCGAATAGTTGTTCCTTCGAATGAGCCAGTCATCTTTTGCACTTCCACAAACTTCACACCCTTACACCACGCGAATACTGCCTCCATCCTATAAGAACAAAAGCACGGAAATGGTGAGTAAATGACATTCAAAGTTCGAGAAAGCTAACCCATCAATAAAGCTCAGAGAGTATGGTCGCATTTCGTATTCCTCAATGGCAAGATATGCCATAGGGTTACGGTATTTTGCAAATCGACGAGCTCCATTATCCGAAGACAACGCGGCTCAAGAAGACCCACTACCGCAACAAGAGTTACTATAATCATTGCTCGAGAGTCAAATGTTCTGAAGCAACAAGAGTACTTACATTCCTGGGTTGAATTGCGCCAAAAACTCGTCTTCGTCAACGTCCAATCCGCAAGCCACTTGAATTTGAGCAACAGTTTTCGCCACTTCTTGCAGCTTATGGAAAGGGTTAAGCAGGTAGCTCTTCATGCCTGCTGTTGGATCGTCGTCATCTTTGCCCCTCTCATCGAATGTCATAGTAGACAAAAGAGCAACACATTGCTCGACCGCCAACGATTTGAAGACACCTGCAAAAATGAGCTCCGTGACAACTAGTTCGTTTGCAGTATTGATCTCGCAAGCAGTTCTTCCCTTGGTCTGAATGACTCCATTTGCATCCACATGCCCAATCTTTTTCAGCACTCGCTTCATTTTCTTTAGATCATCCTTCATGGCCATTGTTTGGAAGCTCCTCGCCTCATCTCTTAGTAGACGGGCCTTCTCTTTCGTCTCGTGGCGGTTCTCGTACGACTGGACAAGTCTAATACGGTCCTCTTCGGGGTAGTCAGCGACTAGCTTGTGCAAAGAGAGTCTATTCGCAAGAGCTTCCGCACGGTCCATCAAGATCTTAAATTCGTCCTCCCCAATCCCAAGATCTTTGATTGGATCAAGCAGTGGCAAGCCCTCGGGGAATCGCTTCTTTACCTCGTCAACAGACATTGACACTTTCTTTCGTGCCTCGAGAGTGTTCACAGCTGGTGGAGTGAAGATTCGAACAGCAGAGATTCTATCGATATTTTCCAATGTTACCGTAAAGAGTCGCATTGATACCATCTCCTTGTCGTCATCAGGCTTGGCAGGACGGCAGAATCGAACAGAACCTCTCCACAAGAGTGGTGCATCCTTTAAATCGTCAGATTTTTCGGCCCCATCCACCTCATCGAAATGGCGATCCACGCAAGGTAGGAGCACTTCCAGAGTATGGGCTGGTTCCCCCGACATTGCAGCGAGCTTTCCAGCATCGCCACCAGATCCTCCCCCTGTTTTCTTCTTGTACGCCGTCAATACCCCCCACCCAAAACTTTGATTTTCAATAGAAATGTCAAGAAGCCGCCCAGGTACCTGGAGGAATTTCAATATGTGTTCAGGCTTTTGAACAATCTTCGCAATCTTTCGTCGGATAAGCAGGAGCTGCTGATCCATTTGGTAGTACTCCTTGGCAAGTTCAACTTCTTCCGTTGATCCAATCTCAATGCCTTCGGCCTCGTTCTCAAGCTCTTCGGCTTTGGTAATTAGCGCAGGAGCTTCTTTTTCTCTTTGGAATTGATGGAACGAGGCACGAAGGAGGAATTCAGGTTCGACATCCTCAACTCGCATCAAGTTCAAAAGCATATTGTACGATATTCTGTAGCTCGAATTCAACGGATCTGGATCACCATATAGGATACCTTTACAAACCGATGGCTCCATTTTTTCTGTTCACAAGCGGAAAGCAATCGTTAGAACATAAGCGGGTGGATTCGAGTGCATTCCACAGCAAAGTGATGCTATTACGTACCGTCCAACATCTGAATGACAAGACCTCTGTCATCTTTTCCTCTTCTACCGGCACGTCCAGACATTTGAATGTACTCTCCAGAGGTTACCCATCGAAATTCCTTGCCGTCCCATTTTCGTGTATTAGTAAAAACCACCGTTTTGGCAGGCATGTTGATACCAATACTAAAAGTTTCGGTTGCGAACAATGCCTTGATGAGCCCTTCCGAGAACAAAATCTCTACGATCTCTTTCAAAATTGGAAGAAGCCCTCCATGGTGGACCCCGATACCACGTTTCAACAGAGGCAACAATGCTTGTACCTGTGGGAGCTTTTGGTCGTCGTCACCCAAAGACTCGATTGCATTGGTATACACTTGTGTAATCAAATCCTTTTCAACGTCATCAGTGTAATCTTCTCGATTCAGCGCCAGCGCATATTTCTCACAGTCCTTCTTGGAAAAAGAAAACACAATGACTGGGTTCAAGTTTCGGTCCATAATCAGCTTGACAATCCGATGCAGGTCCGTAAATTGCCCTCCTTTCTTTCCTCCCTTTGCGCCACCTCGTTTTCGCTTCTTTCCATTTCCAGAGGTCAACATGGCATCCGCAGCAGCCACATCCATATTCCCAGATTGTAAGGTACCCATCGCTTTCTGAAAATTATTCTCACGAAACTTTCCCTTCTCGTCAACGACCAGGTGCAAACCCTCCCCACCTTGTGGGAAAATGTAGTGCTGCAAGGGTGTTGGACGATAGTTCGTATACAAGACATGGCAAGGTTGGTGATGGATCGCACAAATCCAATCGGCAAATTGCGAAGCATTCGGAATGGTAGCGGAGAGAAAGACGAAGCGGACTCTGTGGGGCAACAGAATAATGGACTCTTCCCAAACTACCCCGCGTTCGGAATCTCTCATGTAGTGAACTTCATCAAAAACAACCCACGCCACTTCGCGCATTAGTTCGGATCCACGGTACAACATACTTCTCAAAATTTCCGTGGTCATTACTAGTGCTGTGGCAGTCGGGTTAATGGTGATATCTCCAGTCATCAAACCGACATCCGAAAATTCCTCTTGCAAATCTCGAAACTTTTGGTTACTCAGTGCCTACGGTAGCAGTACAAGAGCCAATGAAAATGTGAGTTATCTGAGCAATATGCAAATGCAATATACAAGATGCTAGTGTCACTTTTCATACCTTGATGGGTGATGTATACACCACACGTTGTCCATTCTTGAGTGATTTGGCAATGGCGTATTCCGCCACGGCTGTTTTACCGGCAGATGTGTGAGCTGCTACAAGAACAGATTCTTCCTTTTCGATGTACTCAATTGCTTGTGATTGGAAGGGATCCAGGGGAAATGGATATGTTTTGGCAGGTTCCGAGGACGGTTTTGGCTTTGGCAGCTCGTGTCCATCGGGAAGGTTTTTTGGATACGCTGAATACGAGCGAACGGATTTATCGTGTGATGTTCCTGTGGAAATATCCTTATTCTCGGCCTTCTTTTGGTCGTCCTTGACAACCTTTGGCTTTTCAGTCACTCGATTCTCCTCTTGTCTCAAGTGCGAAGCCGTGGGTAAATTCATGACACTGGTGTATATCTTCTTGGCATTTGTGGAAGAATCCTCATCTTCATTGACCTTCTGTTTCTTCTCTGCATTGTCACTACTAGCTTCTGTGACGCTTTTCTCTTCAGATTTTGTGGCATCTCCGTCAATGGCTCCAAAGAGATCATCTAGTTCATCGTCCATGATTGCAACTTTTTAGTTTTCGCAGTAAGATACAGTATGTTTATAATGAATGTCGTGATGGGTTTGACTTTTTGGTTCTGCTATGGTTGGTCCAATCCTGAGCGCTCGTCCGGCGTCAGGCTGCAATCAAACCGCGATCTCTTTCCAAACAGGAACCAAAAGTACACGTGTAGTGTACAGACGACCGACCAATGAATTTCAAATATGGAACGATTTCACAAAAATCAGAAAAAAGAGCCGTCAAACCGGACTAGAAAGACGAGTTGCCCTTGCAACCGAAAAAACAAAAAAGTACGTCAATGGAATCATGATAACCATTTTGGTGGGGTGCTGGTGTTTTCGGTGGCTTGGAAATCGGCTAGAAGCTCCATGGTTCGGAATTGTCTGAGTCCCACACCGTCCGCATTGTTTTCGAATGTTATATCCGGGTTCCTTTCGCAGAAATCGCTGTTACCTGAGTACTATTTCCATCGAGATTCCGTATTCGCAGTGATTTCTGGTAGGACAAAAGGGTATTTTTGGAATTCTGATGCGAAAAAGGACTCGAGTTTGTCCACATGTCCATCGTGTTTTTCCCAGCCGCACGTGATTCAGTTCCACCTGCACCAAGAAATCTGGAACTCGTTTTGACGTGTTTAGATTATCCTCAAGCAAGTCAACTTGTTGTTTCTCACTATTGAGGCCCTTTTCCAACTCTCTTTCTTAGAAGGAAATCTAAAGGAGACCTTCTCTTCACCCCAAACTTAACCAGTCCCAAGAAGAATCATGTCTGCTGCCACAGAAAAAGCCCCTGCACAAGCTCCTTCGGATGCCCCTGCCCCAGCCCCTCAAATGGCTGGAGGTGAAGGCCCAGCTGCTTTCCACTCTGCGTCCCTTTACGTTGGTGACATTGCTCCCGATGTCAATGAAGGACTTTTGTTCGAGATCTTCAATGCTGTCGGACCCGTTGCCTCCATCCGAGTTTGCCGTGACGCCGTCACTCGTCGCTCGCTTGGATATGCTTACGTCAACTACCATCAATTGAGCGATGCTGAACGTGCTCTTGATACCATGAACTTCTCTGTCATCAAGGACAGGCCTTGCCGCATTATGTGGAGTCAACGTGATCCCACTCTTCGTCGCTCTGGAGTTGGAAATATCTTTGTCAAGAATCTCCACGTCTCGATCGACAACAAGCAACTTTATGATACGTTCAGCCTTTTCGGAAACATTCTTTCCTGTAAGGTTGTCACTGACCGTGAAACTGGAGACTCCAAGGGATACGGTTACGTCCATTACGAAACTGCTGAAGCTGCCAATGCTGCCATTGACAAGCTCGATGGTATGTTGATCGATGGACAAGAAGTCCAAGTTGGACACTTTGTTCGCCGCAACGAGAGACCAGGACAACATGACTGGACCAACTGTTACGTCAAGAAGATCCCATTGGAGTGGGATGACGAGAGACTCAACAAGGAATTTGCCCAATACGGTGAGATCCTCAGTGCTGCTGTTGCTCGTGGAACTCGCAAGGCTCCTAAAAAGAAGCCCGTGAAGGAGGAAGGCGACGCCAAGGAAGAAGATGAAGACAAGAAGGATGAAGATACACCAGAAGAAGAAGCCAAGGAAGAACCTGAGGCCGACGCTGAGGTTAAGACCAACGAGACCCTTGGATTCGGTTTTGTTAACTTTCTTGAGCACGACGCTGCTGTTGCCGCCGTTGAAGCGTTGAACGGCAAGAAGTTTCCCACCACCATTGACGGAGAGGAAGTCGAACAAGAACTTTTCGTTGGACGTGCACAAAAGAAGTCCGAGCGTGAACGTGAATTGCGAGCCAAGTATGAAGCCGAGAAGATGGACCGTATCTCCAAGTTCCAAGGCGTCAACCTTTACATCAAGAACCTTGACGACACTGTCACTGACGATATGCTCAGAGACGAGTTCACTGTCATGGGTACCATCACTTCTGCCCGTGTCATGAAGGACATGAAGGATGGCCGGTCTCGTGGATTCGGATTTGTCTGTTTCTCCACTCCTGAAGAAGCTACCCGAGCTGTTAACGAAATGAACGGCAAGATCATTGCCAACAAGCCCATCTTTGTTGCTCTTGCCCAACGAAGAGATGTCCGTCGCGCACAACTTGAAGCGCAACACGCTAACCGCGGTGGTGGTCCAGGCGGCCCAGGACAACCAGGAATGATGCGTGGTCCCATGGGTGGTCCAATGGGATACCCAGGTATGGCGCCAATGTACATGCAAAGACCAGGACCAGGCGGTGCCATGCAGCCAGCTTACCCAATGGCCATGCCACAAATGATGGGCCCTGGAGGACGTGGAGGTGGTCAAAGACCATACCCCATGATGGGACAACAAGGTCGTGGTTATCCCATGCCATATGGTGGTGTCATGCCCCAACAAGGCCGTGGCCGCGGGGGAAGAGGTCGTGGACCAGGTGGTATGCCAGGCCGAGGTCCTGGTGGACAACACATCAAGTTCAACCAACAAGCTCGTAACGCTGGTGGTCCACCACCACCTCAGCAGCAAGCGCCTCCTCAACCCATGATGGCAGAGGGAGCTCTTACTGCAAGTGCTCTTGCCTCTGCTTCTCCAGAGATGCAAAAGAACATGATTGGTGAACGTCTGTACCCTCTTATCCACCAATCTCAACCTGATCTTGCCGGAAAGATCACAGGTATGCTTTTGGAGATGGACAACTCGGAATTGCTCCATCTTCTTGAGAGTCCTGAAGCTCTTAACGCCAAGATCAGTGAAGCTCTCCAAGTGCTGGAGGCTCACCAACCAGGCGAGGAATAAGTATGATAATTATTGTATATTAGCCACAGTAAAAACTTTGAACTACAGTATGATGTACCGGTAGAGTTCTAGCACGATGTATTGTTTTGCATAAGTTGTTATTGGTCTGCCCCTTCCCCACTTTTTTACCCCTTTTGGTCTTTCGTGAAAACGCCGATGCACGTCCGACTGTCGTCAGCTACACAGTCGCTGATCTGATGACGGTGTCATGCATTCATTCTCCAAGTGAGATCACGCACAACATTGCTTAACATAACAACCATGTCGAAAGTCAACAATGAAGATGGTACCGAAGTCTCGAAGAGAGATCGTCCTGAAGATTCCGAGGATACTGCCGAGCAAACTACCAAGAAAGCAAAGGTAGAAGAATCCAAGGACGAAGCTGAGGCTAAGGACGCTCCAAACGACGAAGAGAAGAAGGAGGAAGCGAATTCTGAGAAGAATGGGGAGGGCGCAGAGGAAAAGACTGAGACTGTCAAGGAAGAGGACCCAACTCCTGCTCCAGCTCCAGCTCCAGTGCCTCAACCCGCAGCTTATGCTCCAGCTGTAGTAGCAGCTCCCGCTGGTTTGCCAGCTCCCACTCAGCAATCCTACGCCTTGCCGTCAGTCGCTGATAATCAAGTTATTGAGGAACGTGGAGAAATATCGGCCTTGTACGTCGGCCGAGTTATTGGCAAGGGTGGAGAGATGATTAGAGATTTGCAAGCACGATCCGCTTGTCGGATTGATGTGGATCAGAATGTTCCACCGGGTCAACCTCGCGTGATTACCTACCAAGGAACAAAGAAGACTGTGGATTTTGCCAAGCATCTCGTGTATCTTTTGTGTCAGGACAATGGGTCCGAAGCGGATCTTCCATTAGGAGAGGCCAAGCGCGAGTATCTTGTAGTTCCTGCGTCTTCTGTTGGAAAGATTATTGGCCGAGGTGGAGAGGTAAGCTTTATCATCGATTATCATTGTTCTGGCTTCAACGATACTCATGACGCATGCTTTTCATTGATTGTATAGATGATTCGAGATCTTCAGTCTCGTTCCCAAGCCAAGATCCAGGTGGATCACACTGGACACAGTGGTCTTGATGTTTCTGAGAAACAAGTGACAATTACGGGCACCGAAGTTGCTGTGCGAAAAGCAGTCGAAATGGTGCTTTTCCTAGTTGCCAATCCACTCATGGATGCCATGCAATCCATCAACATGCTAGCAGAGGAGAAGCTACGTACTGGCCAACAATGGGGTTCAGGACCGCCCTATCCAGGTCTACAGAACCAAGGCCAAAACATGGAACCAGCTGCTGGAGGCTATGGTGGGTACGATCAGCAGCAAGGTTATGGGGGAGCGCAAGCAGGAGCGTATGGCGGCGGAGGTGGTGGGTACGGTGGTGCTGCTGCAGCTGCGGGTGCTGGCTATGCCGGGGCGACACCAGCCTACCAACAGCAGTCCTCAGCCTATGGGCAGTATGGCGGTGGAGGTGGTGTCGAAATCGAGATGTTCTACGCGGCCAAGAACTTCATGGGGAGAATCATTGGGCAAAAGGGTTGCACTATCAACGATCTCCAAAGAAGAAGTGCTTGCGACATTCAAATCAATCAAGATGTCGCGCCGGGACAGGATTGCGAAATCACAATCAAGGGTTCTCGACAAGGAATTGAAATGGCAAAGCAAATGCTTCGTGAGATCATTGAGATTGGCCCAAACCACCCATATGCCGGTGGAAACTGTAAGTTTGTTTCAATGTACACAGTGTCTGTGTTTTAAACTCTGTTCAAAGGAATCTAACCTGATTTATCTTTCCGTCACATACCAGACTTTGCTGGAGGTCAACAACAAGGTGGTTATGGCGGTGGTTATCAACAACAATCGCAAGGTGGTTACCAACAAGGTTATGGTCAAGGAGGAAGTTACGGACAACAACAAGGATACCAAGCTGGCGGCTATGGTGGATACCAAGCCAGTGCTTACGGACAACCGCAAGCATCTCCATATGCTTCGTATGGTGGAGCTCCTCAAGCTGCTGCACCCGTTGTATCTGATTGGAAAAGCGCGACAGCGCCAGATGGACAGGTTTACTATTACAATCAACGAACAGGAGAGACTCAATGGAACAAACCAATTGGGATGCCGTAAGGTGTTTTGTCTTCCCCTGTCTGCTACTTTGTTTTCTTTTGCTGGTTGTTGCACTCTTCACGTTCCTGGCGCTGCTTGCTTTGCTTGCGCGCCTTGATTGATGGCATCCTTTTGAATTCGCTGTGATGTTGATTGAATGATTTATTGATTGATTTCTGTGATACTGTTTTTTCATTGATTGACACGAGAGTTGGTCGGTTTGAGTGTTAAAATGTCTTCTTGCTCGCTCTGTCTGTCTGTTTCTGTGGTTTTTGCGCATACCACGATGACTGTGAATGAATGAATGAATCATCGGATGTTTCAAGATCTTTTCTGTATTGCAGCGTTTGTCTTCTGTATGACTCTTTGCATAGGTTGTGTATGCACGCTTGGCTGAATGTGTCGAATTGTTGAGAACTTGTACTGCGAACTCGGTGGACGCTAATTCATAATGATTATTTTGGACGTGACTATTATTCTACACTACTGTAGCTAGGATACATTAGCAACAGCATACACTACGAGTGACGACGTTGTCGCTTCTTGGGTCGTTTGCCTCCGGAGTTTCGTTCCTTCTTGTTTTTTCTGCCTGCTTGCAAAGCGGATGACAATTTGTCGGCGGAAGTCACTTCTGGTTCTAAGCTCTTGGGTACCCGTTGCGTCATTTCCTCCGAAACTGGTAGTATGGACGCCAAGATGGAGGTTGTGGGTTGGAAGGGTTCCGTCACATGCGAAAGGAGGACTTTGTAAGCAATTTCAAAGGATCGTTGAACCATGTTCATTCGAAAGGACGAGGCTCCCACGTCACTGGTAATGTCGAAAGGATTCTCCACCGCAAAAGAGGACTGTCTATTGGGCTGCCAAAAGTGTTCCTTTCGGTCGGAAGCTCCCTTGGGAAAGTAGAACCCATCAAAGCGGACTGAAATACCAGTCGTGACATAGTTGAAATCAATCCCATAGAGTTCAAAAAATTCAATCAAGAGACCTCCCAAGTTGTACACCAATGGTTGTCGATTCCGCATCACGGAACGCTCGCGATGTTGCAAAAATGACACAATCATCATTTGCAACAGAAAGCTTCCCACTCCACCCGTATACGGTTGATTCAAACCACGAGATGCCATGAAATACTTAAGCACAAAGGTAAGTGGCCGCAGTGGAGGCAAGGCATCCATATACTGGTGCATCAATCGAGCCGCTTGTGGGCCCGATTCTTGATCAAAGCAGACATCGACGGCAATCATGGTGGGTCCGTGCTTGAATTTGACCAAGGGCACCCGAGTTTTTTCAATGACTTCCAAATAATACAATTCCGGCATCCAGTGTTTCCTCAAGGCAGCCGCCAACCGATGCAAAGGCGTTCCAGTGGGAGCATCCCAGTTTTCCATGGCTTCGATTTCTTCTGCTTTTCTTTCTTTATCGGATTTCTCCTCTGCCTTGTTACCATTCTTACTGTCCCCATCATCATTAGTAGTAGTAGGATCTGTAGATGGAGCTCCCGTTCTATCTGCTGGATCCAATTGAATGGCAATGTCAATATCCGAGGAAGGTAGACACAATCCCGTCGCTTGAGAACCAAAAACTTGCACTTTACTTTTGGGAAAGACCGTCTTGGCAAGTTTGGTAAATCGATCCAACACTTCATTTCGCAGTCTCATTTCGTCCTCTCTTGGCTCCATGAGCCGACAAAACCCAACAATCTCATTGTGCAAGGCCACCAAGTGATTCGTACGCCTATAATCAACTGATTCCTTCATCCAAGGTGGCAAGTCGGTGCCGTTATTGTAAGTGGCACCGCTTTGCCCTTCGTGTTGGGATGATGATGATTCTCTTTCATAGTTACTGTCACCGCCGTCATCTTCGTCGTCATTGTTGTTTGTGTAGTTTCGCAGGGAAAGAAAGTCTTGGTCCAGGACATTGTCCTCATTGGATTCATCGCTATCCTGGTTTGTCATCTTGCTGTTTCTATATTAGTTAGCAGCTTTTTCAAGTGGTGAGTAGAGGTGCAGCTGTGGAGAGTATCGTACTCATCTGTTGTGTTGAATTTCGACATCGCCACGCGTGTGATGGATGGCCAGACGTTGTCACACGGGATTCAGCTCACACGACTAATCCTGCCTCACCTTCAAGCTTCAACGCACAATCACAATGGCGAAGCCAACAGCTGAATGACTTTTATTGCTCGATATAACATGATTTCTTTAAGAGTGTTTCTTTGAAAGAGCCCTACCGTGAGACCATTGAAGAAGAGGAGATCTGTACTGGGAATCGCCGCAGTCCTATCCGCCAACCAAAAATAGAATTGAAGTTGACGCGTCTGGAACAGACTTGACGCGAATGCAAAACAAGAAAGAGAAATACGTGCAATACTACATAAAAAAACTGTCAACACCATGAAGATGATTCTACCGCGACAGGTATATGTCCATGCTGCCTTAATTCTTGCCAACTCTCTCTTTGCACTTGGATCCATCGTTGGAGCTTTGGGACTCTCGACCATGAACCCTTTAAGTTTTACACTTATACGCGAGATCGTGGCAGGGATTCTGTTGCTACTCTTGTCTCTAATCTTCAAAGCTGCCATAGGTCGCCAGGTTTCCCAACAACAACAGCATACCTCAGAGACGGAACCCTTTTTGGTTGCCACCACCATTGAAGATTATAATTATTACAGAATTCTGAAGCATGGACGTGGTCATTACAAGGAAGAATATCAGCAAAACTACTATCTGATATTGCCGCAAAATTGGAAGGATTGGAAATCCTTCATGCTATTTGGCTTTCTCGTGTCGACGGATCTTGGTGCCTGCATTTGTGGTTTGCACTTAGCAGGACCCGTGGTGGCATCCATCTGGCAACCGAGCCGAACAATTTTGACGGCGGCCATTTCCATGGTACTGAGACTCGAAAAAGTCAACAAATGGCGAATTCTCGGTGTTTTGGTGGCCTTTATAGGCTGTGTCAGTATAGTTCTGATGAATAATAATGATCACGGACGTGAAGATGCTGATGACCAACACGTCCTTCAAGAAGTCCAGCATTCCAGTCTCCTGTTCCTTTTGGGAAATTGCCTCTTCTTTTTGGCTTGCTTGTGTGACTCCGTTTTGGTCCTCTGGTCCAAAGAGCTTCTCAAAGTTTATCCGCCACTAACTGTTGCAGCTTGGTGTTATATATTCGCTTGTCCATTTATGTTGGTTGGGTTGGTGACATCTTCCATGGTTCTCTCTTGGCAGGCTGTCATTTGTACCGACTGCCAACCGTGGGATGGATCCTTATTGAGTCTCTTTTCCATTCCAAAGGATGCCCTTCCAGCATTACTGTACTACATATTGGCCATGTCGATGAGTGCCTGGGGATTGATCTTGTGGGCCAATCAATACGTCACCGGTACCTTTGTGGTGGGATATTCCGTGCTCCAACCTGTCATGTCCTTGGTGTTTGTGGTACTACTATTGATCATGGGAGGGGTTTCCGACTGCCAAGAACCGTTACCGCAAATGGGGAATAGTACAAATGAAGGACAGATGTGTTTGGACAAACCTGGCTTTGGAGCTCTTGTGGGAATGCTAGGGATTTTTGTTGGCCTAGCCTTGGTCACTCAGACGGAACCAATGGAAGACCACGAACAGACAAGAAGGAATCCCCAATGGACTGGATTGAAGATTCTTTCACTAGAAGCAGATTTCACGGAGAATCACAATCGAATCTATGGGTCAATGGTTTCGAACGGCAATGAGAATCTACTGAGACCATGAGAGAGAGGAGACATTTTCAAAATACCATGACGACAGATGCCGATTTCGCAGAAAATCACAATAGAATCTATGTATCAATGGTTTTGCCGAAGGGCAATAAGAATATCCTTAGACCATGAAAGGAGGACCTTTTCAAAATACAAGGAGTGAAAATTGACTGTTCAAATCATCCGGATAATTAAAGCTAATAGCAGTCTATGGGTAAGACTATTTTAAAATACACGCTACTCTTTATATAAATTATGATGTTGTATGAATAGTAGCGAAGATGGACCGCGATGCCTCTTTTCCTCTCTTCTTCTTCCTTAAATCTGCAATACTTTAAAGCCTCCGACAGCGTTGTCGACATCGTCTCGATCTCTGGAACCTGAGCCTCGATACCGATCCCTTCGCCTCCGATCGTCTTTCTTTTCTTCCTTGACATTGACCCGACAACATTTCTTGTATCGTTTGCCGGAACCACATGGACAAGGTGAACTGTTTTTGACGGGAGGAATCTCGTCCACTCCAACCACTGTAGCTACGACAATATTGCTATTGTCCAAGCCTTGATATTCTTGCGCCATCGGTGGAGAAGTGGAATTGGAGGAAGTCGAGGTGGTGACCGTATCTGTTAACGATCGTCGACTGGAACTACCGCTGGCATGTCGACTCAATTTGCGAATGCTCCGGGAGGATTTCACCTTTTTCTTGTTGCCGGCATTTTGACGCACACTGTTGTAATGGTCCCCACTGTGAAAACTGAGCAAAATGTTGGGTCCACTCGTCTCTTCGAGGTCGCATTCGATGGTGAATATGGCCAGCGTGGCACTGTAAACGGTAATGTTTCGTCCATACATTCTTGCGGCTGCCACAAGCTCCAAGTTGCCTTCAGTAGGATGAGATGATAAAACAAAATGCGTCAGTTGTTGGCTTTTCTTCCTTTGTTTTTGGTCCGGCCAAGTGTTTCACTTGCTACTGTACTGCTACTCACCTCCCCAGACACCATCTCGTCTCGTATCAGCAATGTAACTGTCAAAATCAGTAGCATCCTGAGTATTCTTTCCATCTCCTTCAAAGACCAAAAACATTTTAAATTCATCCTCATTGTCGGCCATGAAATCGCAAATATCGTTCCGTATTTCATCGTGGTGATGTCCACGATCGTTGTACAGTTGATCGCTGAGTGCTCGGAATAAACAGTTTCCATCCGAGGACATGTCTACTATTGAAAGTCCCTCGCTTTCCAAGGTGGCTTTCAATTTGACATTATCAATGCCATTGCAATTCATATTATGATTGTTGTTTCGCCGTTTTTGGGCGGCCAGCGCCAAATTGGCCTTGGTGGGTACGACTTTGGTTGCCACTGCGACCTTTCCTCCTCGACTGGGTCCCATCTTTTTGCTGGTCGGTCGTCGACCTGCTTTGCGGTTCCGCCGTTCTTCGTTTCGGGCTCGACTGCGTTCGTTTCGATCGTAATCCTCGTCACTATCCTCGTAGCGATGAGAGGAGCTCCGTCGAATATGACCACTACTCACATAGCTTCCAGAACTCGGACTTCGCCGTCTCCGCCGGTCATGGTCGCTATAATCATCTCCTCTGTCTTTGTGGTAACGATCTCTCGACGAGGATGGCTCTCGACGATGACGATCACGATCGTTGTTTCGAGAAGAAGAGTGACGTTTTTCCTTGCGGTAATGTCGGTCCCTCCGTGGCGAATGATTTCGATTTCGATCACGGGAGTCTTCTCGGGAATACCGAGAGTCTCCGGAAGAGGAAGAGTCATCACTACTGTAGGAATCTCTCCGTGAGTAGGAGCGACGTGAACTCTTTCTCTTCTTTGGCATATTGCTGTTGTTGTGTTGTATTTTTGTCGCTGTTGCTGTTGTTGTGTTATTGTTATCTCATATGAACGAACGAATCAATCAATCAATCAACTCTTAATGGAATTCAGAATAATATTCAGCCTGCTTTCGTAGAAGCTTTCTCAGGGTGATACAAAAGTTTGAGTCCGTCTGCTGAAACAAACGTCTGTTTATCGGTAACAGATGGCAGACAAGCGAAGAGACCAAGGAAAAGTCCCAAGTTTTAAAGTCCAAATGAGACTGTGTCGTGTGGCAAGAGATTATGATGAGAAGTTTGCTTTCGCACTTTGGTGTGTACGAGTACTTGTAAACACAGGGTGCGGCAAACTTGGGTGATTAAATTTTCGTATTCCAAAATTAGCCTTTTGGTAATCCACTTCAACACCATTTGAAATAAGAAATCTGTACTTCAATACGCTAAAAGTGGAAATGCTGGTCGATTGCGTGATCGCCGTAGAAGTGATACTCCACCCGTCCGCCATTCGTCGGAAGCATGCTTCCAGTCCAAGCAATCAACCAAAAACTCAAACCAACACAATAGTACAAACAAAACGCAATCTCCAAATCCATCTAAACTCCAACAATACACTTCTTGACACAAGTCCAAAAAGAGGGTTTGCTTGTGTATCCAACGAGACAAGACTAGCTCAACAACTACAACAACAATGTCCACAAAACGTCGAGATGGTAGAAGTCATGGTGCCTTGCGCCAATTAACATGCGAACTCTCCTCCCTCCAACGTGCGGACGGGTCGGCCCTGTGGAAATGTGGATCCACCCACGTCTTGGGTGCCGTGTACGGACCCATTGCTCCTTTGAATATGGCCAAAGAACAAGAAGAATCGATAGTTACCGTGCTGATAAAGTCGGGAAAATCAGAAGAAGTTACCGACGAACACAAAACATTCTTGACCAAAATTTTGACAAATTGCATTGATGTGGCCAAGTATCCAAGGACCGTGGTCCAGGTGGTCTTGCAAATTATTCAATCGGATGGATCTTTGGTTTCGTGCTTGTTACATGCAGCAGTGGCTGCCTTGATGGATGCCGGAGTCGAGTTGCTATATTTGCCTGTGGCCACCACCTGTCTCGTCTTTGGTAGCAACAGTAGCAATTCCATATGGTTGGACCCCATGGCGGCAGAAGAGGAGGAAGATAATGACAATGCGATTGTTACCTTGGTCAACAATTCGAGGCAACCGAATAAAGTATTGGGAAGTCATACGATAGGAACCTCGGGGATATCATTGAATCAGTTCCTTGCCTGTCAACAAGTGGCAACCAAGGCTTGTCCAGCCATACCGGCGTTTTGGAGGCTGGCCATTGAACAAAAAGTACAAAGAGAATCTCAAACTCTTTGGGCAAATTAGAAGATATGTAAAGGTAAATCATTACTGATCCATCGATGTATAAAGAGTAGCGTGTACTTTACTTCTATATTATATAGACTGTTGTTAGAATTGTTTGTGCGATCTATTAGTAGTTGGTTAGTTCTATACCGGTACTGTGATCTATGATACTTTGGTTGCTGAAGAAGCTGCTGCTGCCTCTGATATCACTGGAGCATGATGCGGTGCAAAGGCACCCCTTTGAAAGATGCGCCGTGGACGACGATTAGTAGCAGTAGTAGCAGTAGTATGATACTGCACCATTGCCTGCCAATAAATCTTCTTGGCAGTACTTTTGCTCGATGATGGTGGAGCTGGAAAGGATGATTCGAGACAGTCTTTCAACAAGGTCAAGGCATCCTCCGACGACATCCGCTGTATGGTTTGGCAAATATCGTTGCCTTGATTCAACAATTTTTGATACAATATGGCTTCGGCCTTGTTGGCATTGCACCCGATCACTGCGGCTTGCGATTTCCAAAATTGTCCTGTCGGATCCAATCTCCACAATTCCTTGTGACCAACAAGAAGTGCAAAACTGGCCAACATTTTGTAATTCCTCTTGCCATCCGCATCCGCGATACTTTGGGTTGGCAATTGCAATTGATCGGCCAATTGTCGTGCCAATCCACCTATGGCCGCAACACCACCACCGGACTGTTGCATCCAAGAATGAGACACCTCATGACACAAGTGCTTCAATACGTGTCCGTCGACTATATTTCCAGCCGTAACTACAACGAGACTGGGAGATAGTGAATGAAAAATGGAATTTTGTTGATTGTCCAAGAACAATGATGACAGTGTTGCATTGTCGCTTGATGTCGTAGTTGTAGTTGTAGTCGTAGTTGTAGTCGTAGTTGTAGTCGTAGTCGTAGTTGTATTCAAATACGGGGAGGTGGGAGTATTGGAAATTAAAACAATCCCATCGTTGCAATTCATGGCCAAAACCAAGTTGGCTCGAGGATTGCTACTCGATTTGGCAGCTTCCACTATCGTTTCAACTGAGTGGAGGCGACCAGTGGGTGAAAAGACAGTCGGAGGTAAGTCAGCATAGGTATTGGCTTCTTGGGTGGATCGGCTGTCGCTCAGAGCTGGTTGCCAGGAAGCTCCACTGTTGGATGATGATGATGATGTTGTTGATGATGATTTAACCAGCTGAAGTATTAATGTCAATGTAAATATCAGTAACAATAACTGCAATGATGTCATGGCAAAGATGGTGCACAGTAGCACTCTTTTTCGTTTGACAAAGTGGTCGGTTGCTCGGTCGATCGATGGTCTTTGGTTGTGTGTTGATTTCTGATGTCCTGGTACTCACTTAGGCGCAAATTAGTGTGTTGATCAACCGGCAATAACGATGAAAACTCTCACATTGCAATCCATCATTGCTTGAGCTGGCCGACAATAGTGCGCATCCTCCTGCTACATCCCGTATCCATTGCTGCCCTTAATTCAGCAACTGCAATAGACCATCAAGGAGAGTACACGCACACGCATCAACATCAGCATCAGCATCCAGCACGCTAATCCATTATTACTATACTGTACATAATCACGACAACCACCAACAAACCCACCACCAATCCTACAAATACAAATACAAAAACAAAAACAAAAAATAATGCCAAAGAAACACAAACCCTCAGCGGCGGTCATTCAATGGTGTTCGGATGAACTTCATGATTTGATGGGATTTACCGACTCGGCTCTGGCCAATTACTTGGCACACGTTGCCTCGTCGGCCAAATCTGTGAGGGATATTCAAACCGTCTTGGAGCAAGGCGACATCCAAGCATCCCAGGACAAACAATTGCGGTTTTGCAAGGACTTGTATGCCAAGTGCAGTCGGAGTAGTAGCAGTCTGCCAGCCGCTTCTAAGAGCAGGAGTATAAGTAGCACTACTACTGCTACTACTACTGCTACTACCAAATTAACCAATGCGGATTGGGTTCGAAAGGCGAGCCAATACGACTTGGTCGACGATGACGACGATGATGATTTGGACACTACCAAAAAGCAAAAAAAGAGCAAAAAGAAGCGAGAGAGTAGTAAATCGACTACTTCTACTAGCAAGAAGGAACGACTCAAGGAAAAGAAACGTCGGCGGCGGACCTATGAAAATGATAGTAACGCCAGCAGTAGTAGTGAAGAAGAACGCATGCCACGGGGCAAATCCACGCGTCGCAGCAAGGAGGAATCAACGTCGGAATCAAAAAAGGATACCTTGACCGAAGCCGAACGGGCCGAATTGGAACGAGAAAAGGATTTGCGAGAGCGGGACGAATTTGTCCAGCGCATGTTGAATAAGGACAAGTCCAAAACCAAACAAAAGGTCAAGGAAGGCGAAGACAATACAGATGCGGCTGCAGAATCCAAAGCGGCCGCACAGGAACGAATGGACAAGGAGCGGCGGTTGGCGAAAGGAGAAACCATTGTGGAAGAAGATGGTACCACACTGACTCTGGAACGATTACGAGAAGAGTCAAGACGACAATACCTCAAGGCGCGACAGGAACGAGAGGTGACTCTTCTCAAACAATCTTTGGAAGATGAAGAAGAACTCTTTCGAGATCAAAAAATTTCCGAGACTGAAAAAAAGAGGATTGAATTGGGCCGGAAAATTATCAAAATGGTGCAAAAGAATGAAAATGAAGAGGAAGAAGACGTGCAAGATGGTTTCTATCGATTGCCAGACGAATACGACGAAAATCAAACAAAGAGCAAGCAGAATCAGGCTCTTCTTTCTTCTCGCTACAGGGAGACCAAAGAAGAAAAGTCCGAACAAGAACTCTGGGAGGAATCGCAAACCCAAAAAGCGGCTGGCCGAAAGAAGAAACCCAAAAAGGATGAGAACGAAAAAGAATACGACCTAGTGTTTGACGATCAAATTGATTTTGTTATGCAAGAAACTACAAAGGGATACGACAAGCGCGGAAAAGGGAAATTGTCTCCTGAAATAGGAAAAGAACTAGCTGTTGTCAAAAAGGAACAAGAAGCACTCGTCTTGACCGAACACGAAAAGATTCTGGAGGGGCGCAGGAAGCTGCCAGTGTTTCCCTACCGCGAAGAATTCTTGGCGGCTGTCAAGGATCAACAAATCCTAGTGCTAGTGGGAGAGACAGGATCGGGAAAAACAACTCAGATACCACAGTACCTACATGAGATTGGATATTCGGAACTTGGCAAGATTGGATGTACACAACCTCGACGTGTCGCCGCCATGAGTGTGGCTGCTCGCGTGGCACAAGAAATGGATGTCCGGCTGGGGCACGAAGTTGGGTATTCCATTCGATTTGAAAACTGCACCAGCAAATCTACATTGATTCAGTACATGACGGACGGTATGTTGCTACGAGAAATCTTGACGGAACCTGACCTTGCGAGTTATAGTTGCATGGTCATTGATGAAGCTCACGAAAGAACACTTCACAGTGATATTTTGTTTGGACTTGTCAAGGATATTGTCCGATTTCGAAAGGATTTGAAACTGATTATCAGTAGTGCAACAATGGATGCCGAGAAGTTTTCAAAATACTTTGACGATGCCAGTATCTTTATGATCCCAGGTAGAATGTTCCCAGTCGATATTTTCTACACAAAGTCACCAGAAGCTGACTACGTCGATGCAGCAGTTGTGACTTGCTTGCAGATTCATGTTTCACAGCCGCTAAATGGTGATATTCTTGTCTTCTTGACAGGACAAGAGGAAATTGAGACAGCAAGTGAGATATTGACCCAAAGAACCCGAAATCTTGGTTCTCGCATCAAGGAATTGATGATCTGTCCAGTGTATGCCAACCTGCCATCCGAACAGCAAGCAAAGATTTTTGAAAAGACCCCCAAAGGCGCTCGAAAAGTGGTGCTGGCAACCAATATCGCAGAAACAAGTCTTACTATCAATGGTATTTGCTACGTGATTGACACTGGTTTCAACAAGCAGAAATCCTTCAATGCCAAAACAGGAATGGAATCGCTTGTGGTAACACCAGTGAGCCAGGCTGCCGCTAACCAAAGAGCTGGTAGAGCTGGACGAACCCAACCTGGAAAGTGCTTCCGTCTCTTTACGGCATGGTCGTTTCAACATGAACTCGAACCGAATACCATCCCTGAGATTCTCCGAACAAATCTTGGAAATGTTGTGCTGATGCTGAAAAGTCTGGGAATCAACGATCTGCTTCACTTTGATTTCATGGATCGCCCACCAGCAGATGCCTTGATCCGGGCCCTTGAACAATTGTACGCTCTTGGTGCTTTGAATGACCACGGAGAGTTGACAAAGCTCGGAAGAAGAATGGCAGAATTCCCATTGGAGCCGATGCTTAGCAAGGCTGTCATTGTTTCTGAGAAGTATGAATGTGTTTCTGAAGTCCTTTCCACAGTCTCGATGCTGTCACTAGGAGCATCGGTCTTCTATCGTCCGAAAGACAAGGCGATCCATGCTGACACTGCAAGATTGAATTTCGCACGAGGTGGAGGCGGTGACCACATTTCGTTGCTTCGATGCTATTCAGAATGGGCGGCGACGGACTACAACAATGGGTGGTGCATTGAGAACTTTGTTCAAGTGAAAAGCATTCGACGGGCTCGGGATATTCGGGAGCAACTTGAAGGGCTGTGCGAACGAGTTGAGATTGACCACAAGGTATCCAAACCAGATGATCTTGATGCTATATTGAAAGCAATTACTGCTGGCTTCTTTTATAACGTTGCGCGCCTGGGAAGAACAGGGGATTATCGAACGGTGAAACAGCACAAGACTGTTTTCATTCACCCCAGTAGCGTACTCGCGAAAGAAGAGCAGCCTCCTCCATGGCTCCTGTATTTTGAATTGGCGTTTACAACTAAGGAATTCATGAGACAAGTGGCACCAATCAAGCCAGAATGGCTAGTTGAAATCGCCCCGCACTACTATCAGCAAAGTGATGTTGAAGATTCCAACACCAAGAAAATGCCCAAGATGCGAAAAAACAGGCGATAAACTAGACCAGTGGACCTTGCACAACATTTGATTCCACTGTAGTCTCAAAATCGTTTCTTTGTTCGCTTTCCTTTGCCATCCCGGTACCTAGATTTCTTTTTCGAATTGTTGGGCGTTGTTGGTTGTGTTCCAGATGAGGAATCTTTCTGTTGCTTATTAGGTTTGGTGACAGGAACTTTGACGTCTTGCAGTTGCAATCTTCGCTTCTTCCGTTGCTTTGGATTGGGACGTTTTTGCATAGATATAACAGACAACTTTTCGAGCTCGTTTAGCGAGGTTACAAATTTCGCACCTCCAGTTTGTTGGTTCCAAGTACCTTGCATTAGCCGGATCTTCTGTTTCCCAATACCAACAAACCATAGACTGTTGAACGGTGGTATCTCATGGCCTGTCCCCTCTGGATGGTCGTATTCATATGGAATGGCGGGTACTACATATGCCACGTCGTCCATACAGCCCTTATCGTTAAGTAGAGTTCGAAAGTAGCTCTTTGCAGCCACATAATTCGGCATCAATAAGAAGAAAGCTCTGCCCTCCTCCTGAAACTGTTGGATGCAGAATTCGATGCACTTCTCTTTGTGATTTTCCGAGTACGGTGGATTGGTTACTAGCGTATCATGTTCTGGTACCTCATTCCCCTCAACATCTTTGTAAAAGTCCCGTTTTGCATGGATGGTACGATCAAACCCAAGTTGTCGCAACAGCACAGCAACTCTACCATTGCAATAGTATGGATCGTAAATTACATGTTGTTTTCGATTCTGATTCAGTAGGTCCAGAAGCGGCAAAATATCTTCATAAGCACATAATGGTGTTTCAAAATGATCATTGTAATCAACTTTGTACTCAAAACATGGTTTCCAAAGCTTACGCTTGTTGGACGTTGACATTGTCTCTCCAAGAATGGAAATGGGAACTGCCAAAAGTCGAAATTAAAATGCTATCTGGTCTGTTCATCGCCCGAGAGCAAAGAGATGGGTGAATCATTGAACGGTAGCTAGGCAGGGTAAAGGAGTATAGTACATATTATTAATACTGGTACTGTACAATACCAGGTCCTACGAAAAAAATTAGCTAGAATAAGTTTAACGCCTTCTTTGCTTCACTCTGCTTCCATCGTGGCAGCTTATGAAATTCTTCTTTTGTCATTTTAAAGTTTGCTTCAAACTCTTTCGGAGACAGATACTTTTCACGGTGGGCACCATCAATCCCATCCACACTCTTTGCCTGGAGTTGCGCAAGCGAATAATAGTTATTCACCTCCAACACGGCACTCTGCTGGTTTACTTTACTAGTAGTTGATGATGATATACTCATGTCATTGCTCCGTGATTTCAGAGGGATTGATCCACTTTGACTTCCAACAGATTGACCGAATGATCGTTGTTTGCCAAATGATGGCTGCTTCTTCCGCCAATAGCTTTCATCTGAAACGGAACCTTGTGGTGTTTTTATCTTCTCTGACGCGACGCCATTTCTGATATTTTCCTCCGATAGGAGTGGTGCACCATTGGAAGCTGGTTGTATTTCCATAGGATCTTCTCTGATCCATTCGGTTACACGAGAGTGGGAACTTGTTCGGTTTAAAAAGGGAGCCGGCTTCAATTTCGATTTCATATTTGCTATGTGCGAGGAGTCCTTTATTGAACGGGACGAATCGTCAGGGGTTTGCATTTGACCCGATTGCAAAGGAGACACAGGGGTTTGCTTAGGCGGGATCTCCACGGCATTTATTTTTTCCACGTCAACGGACGCTTGTATTCGTTCCATTGACGCCTTCTTTCGCACATCGCCCGTAAGACTGCTAGCTGCCGAAGTACCAGCAGTACTGCGAGCCACCTTTTCTGCCTTTAGCTTGCTATTGTTCCTAGCCAACTCGTCGCGGGCAGCCTGACGGCGAAGCTTTGCCAATGCCTGTTTTCGATTCAGATCACTGCTTTGATTTTTACTCTTAAGATTCTCGGCCAGTTTTCTTTGGGTTGCAATTTCCTGCAAAAGTTTTGATCTTGCTTCACTTTTGGGATTGGACTTCTTATCCATTATGACTTTTGCTGACTCATCGTCGGATTCGTCCTCATCAACCACTTCTTCCTCCATACTTTCGTCATCTTCTGTTATTTCTTCTTCTTCAACCTCTTCTTCTTCTTCTTCTGATATTTCTTCTTCCACACTTTCATCATCTTCTTCTGAATCTATTATTTCTTCCTCAATGTATGATTCTCCATCGCTGCCTTCGTCAGTATCAGCATGTTCAGCATTCTCATGGATTGGCGCCATGATAATAAATTATGAGCCAGAACAGGTTGTGCTCCGCGATGATTGATCACTGACACAGGGTCTGGATCATCAGCATTCCTTGCGGGACTATATGGTTATCAAGATATTCGGCGGGTCTTGCGGTACAGTAGGTACTGATCTCTCTGTCCTGCTTTCTCAAATTCGTGCGTTGTCTCTTCCAATAAAATGCTTCGGTGTTTTGAATCATCTCGATGAAGTCATCAGACATTGTGTATGGTGTTTTTAGTGTGCAGTGCAGTAGCTGGCTGGCGTGATTGCGCCGGCTCGGAAGATGAGGTGAACATCACCGAAGTCTCACAAAATGGACATGCACGCGGAGGAATCATCACCTCAATCATCCTACAATGCACCAGCTCCACAACACGAACATAGCCATTGCGCTTATAAAACTGCCATGTATATACAACTAGCACGCCGATATCAAGACTTTCACTCACAGTCAATACATCACCCGGAGTGCCTCGTCCTTTAGAAGATCCTCATGACGCACGGCAGCTAGAGGACTGAGAAGAGACGGATGTGGAACCTTCCAAATATCATGGATCGTGGAATCAGATAGATAGAAGACACTTTTGACTGCATATATTACTAGTTAGCTGCTATTTAATGCTATTAAAGATCTAATACACAATACTCTTGATTGTCATCTTCTTGACACTCGAGTATTCTCATTTGTCATTCCATCATTTCGTGCTAAAATCCATAGAGTCATCGGGATAATTTACGTGGAGCAGAGCTTCCCTCCTCTGCTTTGAATGAAATTAACGTTTCATTTTCTTGACAACCATTGTCTGGAATACTACACAAATTCCTCTAGATCCTGCTTTCGGAGTGATTGGCCGGCGATCTGCTTGCCCCATATCTTGACTTCCAATTGAAGTTTCGGATGCTGATCAAGCATGGAAAGAGCAGGCCAATTAGCTTTTTCACTTTCGAATACTGCGGTGGCAAAATCCACGTTTTCTTTGATCGACCCCTCCTCTGGGTGCAATCATCCGTCCGTTCTTGTTTTTAAGCAAACAAAAACCTTACACAGTGTATATCCTTGTTGCACTCTTGCCTCTGATATCGTTCACGCATCCATTCGAGATGCCAAACCGACAAAGTATTGTGCCACAGTGAAGCGGGTGGCTGCTCCCTGCTCATTGAGAATTGCTTCAACGTCATGCGAAGTCATGTTGATTTGTCAGTAAAATTATATGGGATTTTCAGCAAGCGAAATGTGGAGGAGCTTCCGTCGGGGAAAAATATTCAGATACAGCAATTCTGGACTTGCACACTCCAGAGAAGAAAAAAATGCCTTCTTCTTTATCTTGGTAACCATTTGGGAGGACCTCCAAATCAAGATGTTTGCCTTCATTGTCCTTCTCAGAAAGAATTCGATTATCCAGTTTCTGATTCATTGGGAATAGAAGGTAGTAATAGGACCACTGTAGTTCTGGGTCTTCTTCAACTCTTAACTTGGTTGCAAGCAAGGTTTCGTAGGAATCGGGATCTTGCTCATACGTGGTGCTTTTTTTTATCACATTGTCAATCATGTTCTTGTATGAATGGGAAAAGGTGGGGACTTTGACAGAAACGATGCTGCCTTTGTAGGGCATGCAAACCATGGGGATGCCATCAGGTACCATCTGGATGCACCTCCGTATTTGATCTTTCTCTCCAAGAAACCAGATAGTGTAGCCTTGCACCTTCCTTCCGTTTTTCTTGATGACGCTATTCCATACGATCTTGAATGGTGCGGTTCCATAGCAAGTTTGACCCTTTTCAACAAAGATCAGATCCGGACGAAGCGGGGATGAGCCGTTGAAGTGTGCCCGAAAATTGAAGTAAGCTGCGGACACGGTCAATGATGCAGACGAGCCGATGTCAAAGGCACTTCCGTTCGTCTTGTTGATAGCCGTAGTAAAAGAGTCTGGTGCCCAAGGTCTTTGCTGTGTCATCACTGAGAACGAAGCGGGATAAGTATTCGAAAAAGCCGTTGTAATACAACATCGCTCCATACTGAACTTACATGGTGTCCGAGACTCTTCGTTTGTGGAATTTGCAGCCATCACCCGATTCTTTGTACTTTGAGAAGGCTGGATATTGAGCTTCTTCAAAAGAAAATGATACTTCCTGAGATGCTCGGGTTTTTTGGCATGGTTGTGGAATTGATTCGAAAACCAGTTTCGCTTTCCTGTGTTAGGTCGCCCATAAAATGCAACATCACTGTTGAAGATCTCAATTGGGCTTGGAGGTGTGCCAGCTCTCTCAACGTCGTTGAAGAAACGCTGCTTCCAAATTCTCTCCTCATCCGCATCTTTTGGTCCCTGCGCAGTAGGTGGGAGGTTTGGTGTCCCGCCGACAAAGGAGACTCCAGAATGGGTAACCATGGCTGTTGTTGTTGCCGCTTCAAGGCTTGTTGAACCAAAGTTTGTACTCGCACAGATTGTGAGCTGAGCCAACAAAAGAAAAAGCTGCTATTGTTGTTGCATCATGTTCCCCCGGAAGTCTCGTGTGTTTTGAAAAGGAAACGGTCGCAGTGTGGAAGTGCGAAACACACAAAAGTCTGAAAAGCACATGGCAACGTTCATGACAACGGCCTGAGATTTCAAATTTCAAGTTTCTTTTCGCGCAATGGTCTGTCTGTCACGACGTATATTCATCCAAGCAACAAATAAGGTTGACCGCAAGACGATGGCTAGAGAGTGACCACCAACCTCAACCTGAAACGAAGATAAACAGAAAGGAAGCATACTTTTAATTAGTCTATCAATATCTATCATGGGAAGAGTAGCCAAGTACAAAAAGATCAAATCATTTGATCCATACTCCAAGAAGAATGGCGGAAGGGTCGATCTTTCCAAAGTCGGTATGTGGGGATTGGGAGAAAGCGGAAGACAACCCAAGAAACGGAGTCGTCGAGCCGAAGTTTTGAGACGGAACAAGAAACGAAAAACGAACGAAGCGAACGAAGGATTTGATCTTCCTCCCAGTGAGCGAGATGATGATTTCAGCATGAAGGATTTGGATGGCAGTGTCAAGAAGCAGAAAGTGGAAACCTTGAGAGCGGCTCCATCCAGCAATACCGAGACCCGAATTATGGTGGGGAGAAATGTGGCAACCATTCCCAAAACAGATGCCGACGAAAGAGCAGTAGCAAGAGTCCTTAGGGTGGATAAGCAGAATAGAGAAGTTGAAAAGAAAAAGAGACTGAAAGCGCAAGCGCGTCTCGAAGGAGAAAGCAAGAGAGCATATGCCCGACGAACAAAGTCAGAGACTCGACAAATTGTGAAACAGAGCACAGTGGTAAAAAATCCCGAGAAAATGCAGAAAAAGAAGGAGTTCCTTAACAAGAAAAAGAACAAGAACAAATTTAAGCAACAGGAAAGCGACTTTGTCGGCACTGAGGAGGAGATGGAGAAGGATAGGCAACTAGATATGCCCCCAGAACCCGAAGAAGTTCATTTCACCGAACAAGTAGAGCGACCACCCATGTTCAAGCAGCTACCAAGAGGTGCAAAGGCCAAAGAGAAAAAGAGCAAAGAGGGTTCAAAACCGGGAATGACAGAAGCCCAAGTGAAAGCAGAGTCTACTGCGATGGAATTGATACGGCGACGAGTACAAGTACAATACGCTTCAATCAAGGCAAGACGGAAACAAGCTGGAGAGTTTCATTTGTAGTCAAATAACAATAAGCTTACAATTACAATTTAGTCTCTAGGCGTCTTTGAATGCATCAATGCTGTTGATCGTTTTTGCAAAATCCAGGCACCAAAATCATGAATATGTATTCGGGTCAGCACCTTCATGTAGCTCAGCCAGCTCAATATTCGCGATCGGCGCGATACTTTCTCTTTGATCTCATTCTCATAGACAGCTTGCGAAGCATATTTTCCAGCAACAACCAGCGTGTTGGTTGGCGATTTCAGTGCAAAGTCAATGTGACGCAGACAATCATTCATCTTCAATAGCAGCAGCATCTGCCGTGGAAGAATTCCGAGCAGCACAAAGATCTCGGACAAGAATTGCTTTGCGTATCCCCGAATGACAGCTCGATCGGCCTGACTGTCTGGAGCAGCCGCCGAAGCCGAGAAGGATCCAGTCTTGGAGCGCTCAATGATTTCATCGTAGGGCCTAGCTGTCAACATTGCAGCAAAGAGCGGATAGGCCTTGTCAATTCCCATTGCATGGCATGACTCCTCGATTCCCTTCAAGTCAGCCTACGCAAGATGGTTAGGGATCTGGGAAACGATACTATTGTTCACCAAAAGAAGCATGTTCACTTACTAACATTAGCGACTTCCAAAGTTGGGCGTACTTTATTCTGAATTTGTCGTCAATTTCCTTGTACAGCCCGTGGTCTACACACAAATAAAACAAGAACAAGTACTGGCTTGAGAACAAAATGGTGTCATGGTTGAGGTCAACAATAGCGTGCCCACTTACCAAGCAACACCATCTGAGGTTTTCCATCTTTGTTTCGAATCAGAATGTTTCCTGCATGGGGATCACAGTGAACGAAAGATGACAGAAAAACTTGAGAGTTGAACACTGACGAGATCAATTTTGCAACGTCACTGGAATAGCAAGACCACAAGTGAGAAGTTGTTCGATATTTGCGAATAGGGCCAACAGCTTTGAATATACTCACAATCTGCTCAGTCCTGAATTTCCCAAGGCTTCAACATCTGTGGACTTGAATCCTTCTTCAAATTCCATAGTCAGGACTCTAGGAGCGCTCTTTTCCCAAATTACTTTTGGAACAATGCAGTTGAGACCAGTCCCTTGCAGATGCTCTTCCGCACGTTCCGCATTCTTTCCTTCCCTCAAGAAGTCTAGCTCCTTGGGCAAATGTGGGGCAATTTCATCGGCGATCCAGCCAAAGGTGAATTCTTTAAAAATACTATCAACCAGCCGCACGACACAAGTCACTGCAAAGATATCACCTGCGGAGGTCTCTCTGAGACCGGCATGTTGGACCTTTACTGCCAACTTTTTTCCTGTTTTCTTGTCGTACGCCACATGAACTTGCGCCAACGAGGCAGAAGCGATTGGTACTGGCTCAAAATCGTCAAATAACTCCTTCACATTTCCACCAAGTTCCTCTTCAATGACGCGACAAACATCCGAGTAGGATGATTCAGGTGCATCGTCAAACAGAGACGACAAAACCTCTATATATTCTTGAGGAATGAGGTAGTCTAAATTTGCAAGGTGTTGTCCAACTTTGATATACACACCACCATTATCTCTGCAAAGCCCCAGAAGCCGATTGGCTGCCTTTTTGTGCACTTTGCTCTTGTTCGATTCACCCTCCATTGAGCTAAGCGCTTCTTCTGCTTCGGCTAATCTTGCTGCTGCATCTTCCATTCGATTCTTTTGCCTTCTTTTTAATGTTCTTCTCTCTTCTACTGACATGGGAACAGATTTGTCGGTTTCCGATGCATACTCCATTTGAGCTCCCTCCAATTCAGCCTCGAATGATGCCATTTCTTGTTCCAATCGATTCAATTCTGCTTCTTCCTGACCTCCATCTGTGAACAATTTGAGCTTGGACAATTCATAGTCGGCAATAATCAGGCCAGCCGTACGAACAAGCCTGATTGCCCGAATGGTAGCTTCGAGAGTTGGTACAAATACCGACTTGTTCTCAATCTCATTGCTTCCGTTAGCAATGATGGCTTGACATTTCGTCTGTTTTGCTGCGAAAGTAGCTCCACCTGCAAAAGCTGTACCACCCACCGCAACAGTCAATAAACCAGATCGGCCAAGTGTGCGAGCACCGACTAGACGACTAGCGCCAAACATTCTACTGTCGTCTTTTGAAGAGTGATGTGGTAATGTTGAATGTGACGATGAGACGAAGTTTTTCATATTTTCCAAATTCGGTGTCGTTGAATGAGTCACATTTTGGACTCATCCGACTCTGACAAGCAGAC